ATACAACTTATACAACTTAACTACTTATTTCTAGTCGTGTCCCCTTTTGGAAGACCAAACAAAGTAGTTTAACGAAACAGGGTGAAGGAGCGGTGAAAACGGTGAAAGCATATCCGGTGATCCACAGCACTAAGTTGATGTATTTCCTCAGCGACCAGCACAGATCAGCTCTAGGCATGACGAAGCGGATATCGTCCTCTTTTGGAAGGCCAACCAAAGTAGTTTCGCTTTCACAACGAAACACACAGTGCCTTCACGACATGGCGGCCGCGGCAACAGCAATACTACAGCGAGAATAAAAGTTACGCCTTATTTCTTTGCGTGAACTTTTGGGCGACGTTATGCAAATCTTCCCACATCGTGATGTAGATATGTGGGGGCGTTTTAGAACGAGCCGTTTTAGGTAGGCGTGGTTGACTCTTAACTTTTATAAAGAATATCTCTTTGGATTTGAGACCTTAGTCTTTGCAACTTTACAGATCTTCTTTATGCACCAAGAGCTTGTAACACTCCAAAGAGAAAGGAAAACTTGAAATCGCATCATATGACCCCTTTAATGCATTTGAGCCGATACAGTGAGGGGACCGAGCAGTATAACCGTTTCAGGTGGAAGAAGTCATGAACCTGCTGGTTTGGGGTGAAGAGCGGGTTGGAGACAATACGTGTTTACGTAGATACTTGTCAAGACAGTGATTCTGACATAATTTTGTGTGCATTTGCTCAAGAAGATGTGAAAGAGGACTCAATTTGGTACGTGCGTGCTGTCTGATCTCTGGCTTTTAGTGTGTGTGCGCTAGAGGTCTGCTACCTGACCCAAGCCCGACGGGTCCCGAAATACTTTCGGGTTCGGGTTAATGTTTAATCAATAGCTTCGGGTTCGGGTCGGGCTCGGGTTTATAGCTAAACTAAAACTATATGCAGTAGGCTACGCTGCTTTCATAGACGCACACACACACATTAGTGCACACGACAACACAGCACGGAAACTTTTATTAGTAAAATAGCTTCGACAGGCTACTGACTCGCAACTTTATATTTCTCTGCAATGAGGGGGTAAAATCGCTGTTTTTGAAGTAACTAAGCCTCATTGTTTGTAGAGAGAGGCGCGCAGACGCAGGTTCACACAAGCAAATTTCATCCCTCTCTCTCTCTCGCTAATTCAAATAAAAGATATAATTAATTAATTCAAATAAATGCGATCTTACCACACTGCATCTCTGTGTCTGATTTAAAGCAGGCCGAATGCTAACGAGCCTTAACTGATGAAAATGACCATAATTTGCACGATGGAAGAATTATCGTGGAGTTCTCTTTAGCGCTGTCTCGCGCTTGAATGGCTTAAAACACTTTAATGTTTAACTGGCAAAGCTTAAAACAATGATAAACTGTAAAAGAATAATAAAAGAATGATAAAGTTTCTCGAGGAAGCAGCACAAGCCCGATCGTTGAGATTGGAGATCAATGATTAGTTAAACACTGGAGCGTCCTGTTAACAGCAGGTAAACTAATTGTATTCGCAGGTGAACATAAAATATCATACATACCACAAATGGTGAAAGAGCCAGTGTAATGCAAATATGTCTGAAAGGTCTGACATAACAATAAGATGCGACATGAATGGTATTATATGAAGCATTGTTTGTTGACGTCTCGTTGCGCCTCGCGTTATGAAAACAATGTTTGGGATACTACGATCAAAACTTAGTGATTTAGACAGTTTAGTGTTGGATATTATTAAAGTGGAAATCAGTTTACTAAATAATGTAAACTTGACTGACTGCTTCGCTTCCACTTTAAGGTTTAGTAGAAGGCAGGCAGGTGAGTTTTTGTCAAGGTTGGAGCAAAACTCTGCAAGATTGTGGCTCCCCAGGACCAATGCTGGCAACCCCTGGTCTAGAGCAAATGAGAACATCTCACTTTATTATAAACCTATCCAATATATCTGCACAGGACACATTTTTTGACATGATCCGCCACAACCGTTTGCACCTGTTTACACTTGCCAATCAAAGTACTTTTTGAATGGGTGCATGATGTTGTTGTATTGAAGAATCCATTATAGTGTGTTGCATCACAATGCCCTGTTTGCTTTGACATATGTCATGACCTGTATAATCTCTGCATAAGGTCTAAATGCAGCGGATTTTGGCTTGCACTCCTGTAACCAAAACTAAACATCTTTTCCCATGTGGCATGTCATGGTCCCACACCTACTAAAGTACCTCTGGATCCACCTGCTATATAAGCCACACCCCAAACATCTTGCTATAGGGAGAGTTGGAAAGAGATTGGCAGATCTGAGCTGACTACTCTAAATGTTTTGATGGTGTTTGAGAGTCTCAATGTTTACACTTTTTAGATAGATAAACTCATGAATGGCATACTAATAGTAGTCAATGAATACTAAAACTTGGTTAAGAGAATTATTATTATTTACATAAAAAAATACTTATTTCACCTTTAAAGTGTTGCACAACCTCTCTCAGTGTTGTATTAATCTTGAGATCAGGTCTTCTGCTGAACTTTTCTTTACAGAGTGGACAGAAGCAGGTCTGTGTGTTTGTCCAGCACTTGTTCAGGCAGGTTCTGCAGAAGTTGTGTCCACATGGAGTGGTGACTGGATCAGTGAACACATCCAGACAGATGGAGCACTGGAGCTCCTCATTTAGAAAACTACTGGAGGATGCCATGACTGAAAAGACAAATTATGGTAACATAGTATTAGCTCCAAGTATTTTTTATATATTGCTGGCTGATGTGGCCTGGAGTTTGGCTGGCCATATGGGCATGTACAGTTCTTCAATAACTGTGTGCCATGACAAGTTTGGTAGAACTTTAGCAGTTAAATTCTTACGGTGCGTTTCCACTACAGCGTCAATTCTGCATTCAGTGCCGCTGGCAACACTAAAACGCCACTGCTTTGGGGCGTTTCAAACTTAGGGCAGAGCACGCCTCTGAAAACAATGTTTACACCCTGTTTGTGTTTCATCATCTTTTTACGGCGGTTCGCAAACTGAACACGAGTAAAACGAACCAAAAATAAAAGGCATCACAATCATATATGAAATAAATGAACACAAGCATATCTTATCAGATTTTCCTGTGGTGTGAGGTGTGTTAAGAGTGACTGAATCTGCTCTGAAGAACGTCGGAGGCGCCCCAATCGCGAATCATAAATATTCAACATGTTGAATATTTACGATCAGAAATCCTGATGTGTGGGAAGAACCCCGAGGGCGAACGCGTGTACGATCTGGAGATTATCACGTGAAACGAAACAATATCCAATCAGAAAGCAAGCTGACAGAAGACAGAAGCATAACAAATGCAGTCATCGCAATTTCTTCCTGCCAATCGTCCGCCATGTTTATTCTCAAATCTCGAGAGATTTTGTGAGATTTCCCGTGTTTAGAGTCGGGACTCTGGTTGAAAATCAGTTGGTGTGTGGTGTGCTGTCTTTATCACATCGCGGCACACCACACACTATAGGAGAAAAATGGTTAAATCTAGGATTTTTTTGTCCTCATGTTTGTGGTCTCTCACATTTTACAATTTTTTTTGTGTGTACCCAGCTTAATCCACCAGTTCAGCAAACACTCGGAAACATACGTCAAAATCTTGCCTTGCCTACTTTTCACAGTGATTGGTTGTCACCCGCCGTTTTTCGCTCGATATTTGTATAAAGTCGAGGAATGCCCAACCTTTTTGACACTCAACGCTTTCAATCCCATAATGCACCGCGCGAGCATTTAAACTCAGCTTCCATAGGGATGATTTGAAAACGCTCGCTCCGCTTCGCTCGCTACGTGCCAGTGGAAACGCACCATTATCATTCACTCTTGTAAGTTGTTCGAACTTGTGGGTCAACTTGTAAATTTTCACTTTCGAAAAACAAAGTCAGTTCATGATCATATCCATGCTTGTGTTTAATCTCATACAATGATAAAGGTAACAAAACAAATAGACAATTTTGTTGAAAAACATACTTATATGTAGAAAGATAAACTAATAATTGCTATTTTTTAAATCAAAGCACAAAGTACTTCATTGTCATCTCTGTAGAAGAAATAACAATTCTGAAACTGAATATGTGTTTCTGGGAATTTGCAATAGAACATTACAACATTATTTCATAACACAAAATCCTTTCTAAAGACAACAAGGGTGTGTGTTTTTCATTTTAGTCCACAAAATATTTCTCACTGCAAAATAAAAACCTGTATAGTAAACACCATTAAATTACCTGTACTGTAATTTAACTTAGTTTAATGTATTTATGATTTTTACTTGTTTTTATTTGACTATGTTCATTGTGCCTGCAATTCACGTACTTTCTGTTTCTAAAGTCTTTAAGTTGTGACACGAGAGCACACATCAAACTTCGCTTTACAGCTAGTTAAGTTACATCAGTAATAACATTCTGATACTATTTCAGAGTTTTAAACTAGTAAATAAGCTCTTACACTTACCTCTGAGTAAATATCGCCTGCGATCACAAGATTCGGAGTCACTGAATAAATATTTAGCTTGAAGAGGCATCTGTTTAGTTTTACTTTCAGTGAAGTCTTTCACTCACGTGCAGTGATGTCATACAGTAGCTCCACCCAAAATCATAAATATGCAACAGTTCCTAATTCATCCCCGCAGGGTGTGTAACAGTTTAATAAACTTTTAGAATATCTTGTTTTGTTTAGTTCCTATTTTGATGACGGTAGTAACAAATATCAACATACAAACAATTTAAGTTAAACGTGATAAGGCAGATATAGCACACAAATGCAGTCTTGTTAAGGATGGTTTCTTAACTAGCATTTTATGTATCCTTAAGGCATACAATCAAATAATATTTTTGCACTTTTTACACTTTTTAGACACCACTGAAGATGCGCTCAGTGAAACCACAGCTGAAGAACAACATGAGTGATGATGATTATGTTATTATTCCATAAGGTAATTGTCTTTAATTTAATTTTTGTACATTTTCATGACATTCATCTGCTATGTCAGTAGTACCTGATACAAGAAAGATAGTAGATGCTTCAGTTCCATTTCTTTTTGCTTTACATTTGTTGCAATATAATTGATTTTTGACTATTTACTGTGTTCATTTTCAGACTTGACAGTCGTGAATGAGCAAAGTGAAAAATTTAACACAATGAAGGAGAAACATCAGCATCAGAAACCTCATAATCTCATAACTGAAGAGAAGTGTTTCACTGGCCATAAACGTGGAAACGGTTTCATTCAGAAAGGTATTAAGCATCACAAACCTTATAAATGCCCTCAGTGTTGGGAGGAGTTTTGCACATAAAGGAATCCTTAAAAGGATTGTTCATCCAAAAATGAAAATGATCCTATGATCCTCGTCATCCTGCCTGCCTCCACACACCTTGACCGTGACAGATTAAGCATTTCTCCCACAAGAGTAAAAGCATCTGAGAGGGAAATTTGGTCAAATTAGTGGTGAAATTTATATTATTCAACAAAGAAAAATTAGGGGAGCTCGATGTTTCAATCTGCTGTATAATTTTGTTTTATTTTTGTACTTTTTTAAAATTTATTTTATATTTAATCCGCACATATGATAAAAAGATATCTGTAATCTGATTGTTGTAATAAAAATTGACACCTAGGATATAAATCATTGTCAGTTGTCTGGATGACCACTGTATGAGCGAACACGTTAACGAAGCGCGAATCTAGCATTTTAAATTTCAATGGTCCTTTTGAGGAATCTGCAGGTTTATCGAGCAAAGATATGTATTGTTTTTTTTCCCCATGTTAAAACAATTTAAATGACCGTGCAAAACGTACACGTCAGGACTTTTATAAGCAGGTAAAATGTTCATTAGTCTTTATCATCGAATTTTTGAAATTTTCGTACCTCTACACTCTAAAAAATGCTGGGTTAAATACAACCCAGTGCTGGGTAAAATAGGGACAAACCCAGCAATTGGGCTGTTTTGACCCAGCGGTTGGGTTAAATGTTTAACCCAACCTTCAACAGCCCAATTGCTGGGTTTGTCCCTATTTTACCCAGCACTGGGTTGTATGTAACCCAGCATTTTTTAGAGTGTATAGTGTCGATTCACAGTACAGCACTAATTAGGAGGCTCTCCGGTAAACTCTTAAAAAAGCAAGTTAGAAAAATCATATAATATACAATAATGGCAACTAGGGATGTAACGATTAACCGCGAGTCGGTTGAAAATCGATTTAAATATGTGACGATTCAAATCGGTTCACCTGCTGGCGGAGAGTGAATCTGCGTCTCGTTCAGCTCGTCTGCTGTTTCTGTTTCATGCAGATATTTTTTATGCATAGTTTCACAAAAATAAAGTCAAACCATTCTGTTTTGCTTCAAATTTCAAAATTATGCAATGTAATTTAGATTAAAAACTGCTCGTGTTGCATGTATGCAGCATCTTTGTTTGGATCATGATTAAAATGCAGTGGTTGCCTCTAATTTTACATGGAAAGAGCACAAGACAGAGCCTTAGTTTGTTTATATGAAGAGATTTATTTTATTTGTGTTACTTATTTATTTGATTTGGGGCTTGTTTTAAAATTTCAATTTAGTTTTGTTATTTACATTTACATTAGGCCTATATTTAAATTAGGTTATTTAGCAAACGCTTTTATCCACAGCAACTAACAAATGAGGACAATAGAAGCAATCAAAACCAACAAAAGAGCAATAATTTGTGTGCTATAAAGTGCTATATTAGTATATTATTATAGTGTTATATTTCAATTTCACAAAGAAACATACAGTATTTTGTCCAAGCAATAATAAAAGGACACATTTAATTTATAATTTGTCTTAAATCACATTTTGTTAAAAAAACTAATTGTGAATCGAATCGAATCGTGAAATCAAAATCGTGAATCGAATCGTGGGTTGAGTGAATCGTTGCATCCCTAATGCCAACTTATCTGGAAAGAGGATTGATTAATTTACCGAGACTGGGCATTTCTGGACACCCTCAGCACAAGCGATGGGCATGGCAACTATTCAGCCCGGAAGTGCTCATATTCAAGTTCACCCGAGTAAAAAAACACATGCAACCAAGCGAACGCGCGGACACGTGAGTATAAACCATACTTTACAACTTTGACTTGAGTTCGTCTTTTCGTTGATGTAACACAAGGTAACACATTAAAGCAGGGGTCTCCAAACTCGGTCCTTGAGGGCCGGTGTCCTGCAGAGTTCAGCTCCAACCCTAATCAAACACACCTGAACCAGCTAATCAATGTCGCATACTAGAAACTTCCAGGCAGGTGTGTTGAGGCAAGTTGGAGCTAAACTCTGCAGGACACCGGCCCTCCAGGACCGAATTTGGAGACCCCTGGATTAGAGACTATTGAATTCTCGTGCTTCGTGAATTTGTTGGAACTGAGGAGTGTTGTTGAGTTTGTTGATGTGATCCAGTGGATTTGAGTGGGTTTGTCCGTCTGTATCAGATCCATCCAGCTTTACTGGGGAAATCAGCTGAATGCGTCCTGATCATATGATTTAACGGCGCAACAGCAGCTTCCAGTTCAACAGGTTGAGGTGTGGTACTTTCATCTTTGTGGTTGTTGTAATATCGATACGTGAATTTTCATAAAATTATGAAACTAAAACAAAGAGTGAAAAAACCATCCCAATATTTGTTGTGGGGAAAAAAATTAAATAAATATATATTTTATATTGATATCAGTTGTTGTTTAATTTTCATTACAACTAATAATTGTGTGACTAGTGAAGTTATACTTTGTTAACAGGGAGATGAGTCAATGAAGAGCATGAGATTAGACATGGTTAAACACTTCCACCGCAGATTACTATTAAACACAGCAACACATTATATATATATATATATACAATTTTATGCAAAAGTTTGGGCACCCCTGATAATGATAATAATTTCAATTTATAATCTGCTGGGCTATCGAAGCAGCAACTTCATTTGGATTTAATTTATACCTTACGGAGACCGTAACATTTCACTTCTGAAATTAACAGAAACAATGCAATGTGAATCATAACAAAAACACACAGGTGCACAAATGTGGGCACCCCAATGAAAGTTCAGCCAGGTTTGATGGCTGTTGAGCGTGGACAGCCTTCTTCAAATCAATCCATAGATTTTCGATGATGTTCAAATCTGGGGACTGGGATGGCCATTCTAGAACACTGTATCTATGTCTGTGCATTAATTTCTTGGTAGACATTTATTCCTCCCAAAATCCCTAAACCATGACCAAATTTTTTACATTTAAATTCTCTGTAGTTTTTGTTCTCATCTTCATCTCTTCTGATTGAACATACATTATTATGTATATATTTCAACTTTAAGTGACGTTGCATTAGATTTAAAGGGATAGTTTACCCAAAGTTGTAAATTGTGTCATCATTAATGAGCTTCTTCATGTTGTTACAAGCCGTATGACTTTCTTTTTTTTCTGCAGAACACAAAAGAAGACATTTTGAAGAATGTTGGGAACCAAACAACATTGGACCCTATAGGCTTTATTTGCATGTACAAAAAATAAACACTAAGACATTTTTCCCAAATATATGGACATGAGGGGTGAGTACATAATTACAGAATGAATTGCTTGGCTTGCGTGATAATTCCTCTCCACCACAAGGTGGCAGCACCTCCAAACATGAGTTTAGGTTTGTGCTCAACATGGTTCAGGGCTTGCATATTTCATAAAAAAGCATATTACTAGTGTTTGCATGCACAGAAAACCCAGACAATCTAGTAAATTTGTCAAATGTGCAAAATACAACCCGAGGACACCATTTCTTGTGCAACAAATTACATTTCCTCACAAAATGTAACTAAATTGACACAATACCTGCTTTATTTCTAAGATGAACTAACTAAAACAGCAGGTTGAACCCTATGCAGTATGCACGGATAAACATTTCCAGCACAGCACTGTGTTCATCTGCATACTTCACATTTGGGCAAAATCCATACTAAAACCTCCAAGTGCTGACGTAAATTAGATACACTGAACCTCCCATAGTCCTGAAACAAAGTCGTGTTTACAAGCTTCTGGACTGAGGCCGTGAGTGGTGTTGAGGATGAAGTTATCAGGTTAGTGCTCAAGTTTTGTTTCAGACACTGAGTAAGAAGCAGCATACTCAATATATTTGACCAACTTTCCTGTAAACATTCTGAAACAAGTAGTAAGTAACATTTAAAAAATGTTGAACAAATGTCCAAGAACACATTTCAGAAAAAAGTTCCATGAATGTTGTATAAATGTTTTTGTGCTCAGGATCTGAGAACGTTATTAAAGATGAGATAACATGAAAGGGATACTCTGTGTCTCTCAGATTACTCACATTCAAGTTATTCCAAATCTGTATGAGTTTCTTTCCTCTGTTAAATCTCTTTCCTCATCATTTGCTCACAAAAGAAGAAATTTTGAATAATGTTGGTAACCAAACACTTGATGGCACTTGATAGTATTTTTTACATACTATAGAAGTCAATGGCTACCGTTAACTGTTTGGTTACCAACATTCTTCAAAA